CAACGATCAGTATAATATTCCACGTCAAAGCCATACAGCAGAGAGCTGTGTATGTATTCATAGGAAGTGTTGTCGAGTTGATGTTTATACGAGTCAAGCATAGCCGTCGTCCACTCTACAGTGCACCCGATCTCAAAGTCCGATGCTTTTGTCCAGCCAATCATGACATAGCCATGCGTTTTTTGTTGGGACGAAGAACTCATATTAAGGCATGGAGCAGTGTCCACATAGAGTGGAGAATTCACCTGACTTGCGCACTTCAAGAAAGTTACAAGCATACCAAGTGGGTAATATTGGCTATTCGGACCCATAGACAGAATTTGAAAACTAACGGCGAGAGGATAAAGAGGAATGGAGGAGCAATTGTTCTTCTGAATGCCGGGATCTACAACTCGGATGGTTCGATTATCGTAGTTGATTGCCTGGACATAGTATTTTCCAGAAGGAGGTAGGTCTACTAGTAGTGTACTGTTGTTCTCACAGGACAGAGTAAACAATAAATCGCCGCAGTGCTTTGGATCATCTTTTAGTCGGAAAGGATAGCTTATGTTGGGGATATTGCCACAGGAAGAGGTACACTTAGCGTTACAAGTTTCACCGGATAAACCAACAACAAGAAAGGCTACAATTACAAACCATGACGACAAGGTGAAGAACGACTTTCCAGTTTCCATGGGGAGAGAGTTAGGTTTGAGTTTGATAGCTACACAAAGTACAGCTTTAGACGGTAGCCTTAGTTTTATAATAAAGTGGATAACTGTCATCGCTACTAATAAATTCAATGACGTGCCGATTCTTCACAAGCTAGCTTCTGTGAAGCTTCACTTTTAGTGATTAATTTAAGGTTCCATTCCAATTGGACCAGCTTATTTAAACAAAGCCTTAAATGCTAAAATAGTCCATACGTTTTATCATGTTAGTCAATTTAATCTCTGTATTTTTAATTTGGCTAATTTGGCTCCTGGGTTTAGGACCGTTAGCCAATGTGGCTCATTCCGTTAAAATTGCGATTAAATAAACATAATGATATTTTTTTTCTTGGCTTAAATGTCAAAATGGTCCCTGTATTTTACCGTGTTGGCCAATTTAATCCATGTGTTTTCAATTT